TGTGAAGAAGGAAGACGGAACACTTACAACATCGAGTTTTGAAGGAGGAATTTACACAAGGGTTTTACACCAACCTGTACCGGTCCACAAAATACGTGCGAGAACCGAAAATTCCCACTAGAGAAACAGCACCTAGGATCCTCCCTTGGCAGGTGAGAGTTGCGATTGCGGGCATGAAAAGGGTCTAGGCCCCGACAAAATCTCATACTTTAGAAGCTGTTCACGAAGATCATTCTAACCCGCATATCGTGAACGATGGATGAAGCTGTAGGGAAAGTTGTATTCCGGAGAGATTCAGCTGCTCAGATCACATCCAAACGGTCGCAGTTGTCATCGAAGTGCGCCGAGAATTCCGAATGCCCCTTGTACTTACCTTTGTTGACTATGAAAAGCTTTTGATAGCGTCGTCGAAATGAATGCGATCCTGTCAGCATCAGTCGATCAAGGAGTGCACCCTTCTTACATAAGAACACTAGCTGACTGCAGTAGTCGCTGCAGCGCGACGGTGGATCTAATCCTACGACCTTTTGGCTCTGTCATAAGGAAGTGTGTGAGACAAGGCGTTCGCCGAAGCTGCTCACAGCCGCGCTGCAGCGGGTTACGAAATCGCTAGACTGGGACCAGAAGGGCACTCGTATGGACGGAGGGTTCCTCTCAGATCTCCGATTTGCGGGCGACATCGTTTTCTTTTGAAGTATCGTCACGGAAGCTGAGACTATGCTTGCTGAATTCAGCGAAGCAGGAAAGAAGGCAGAAGAAGTAAATCTATAAAGGAGACCTCGCATTACGTTTGCCTTGAGCGTTCCATGCATATGGACAACAAAATGAAGGAAGAACGTGGCGTGACGAGCCTTATAGATAAATAAGTAAACAAACGGCATCTCAGAAAGCAAAACTATCGAAGGAGTGAATGGAATGCCGAAGCAAGTTGGAGAGTAGTTTTATGCTAACCATTACACACAATCATAAACCTCATATTTTTTGATATAACACCGAAAGGCTTACCAAGTTTGCAAGGCCGCACTTCTTGAAGGTAGGGGCAGCGCAGACTCTGGTATTGTGAATTTGTTATAACGATGCAGGCTTCTATGAAGATAGCTTGTGAGCAGAAACTATTCATTTCTTCTTGGGTCACATCCGTCGACTGTATAGTTATTTCAA